AGCATGGCGTTTGCAACGCCAGGGTTGTGGGTTCGATTCCCACTGGGGGCCAGTATAAAAAAAATTATATATATATGTATTCACTAACTGTAAGTCGCTCTGGATAAGAGCGTCTGCTAAATGACTAAAATGTAAATATGTAAATGTAAATATGCATAACTGTTTACAAAACCATTGCACATTAAAGCCAGACTCAGTAACTGCAAAATAAAATAATGATTTTTTTTAAATGTTGTTTTATATCTCTCAAATAAGAGATTTTAAGTCTTTATTTTACTTATTCAGTGCTTTGGAACTGGAAATACCTGAGCTTTTTTCCATTTTCCCCCTTCAGGTTTGTTTACATTTTGCAACTGATTTCTCAGCCAGGTGACGTGATGACGTAGGCTCAAGCGTAGCCAAGATGTAATCTCGCTCACGTGCTGATTGATGTTTACAACTCAACTGTCACTCTACCGTAGTGCCGTTTAGCTTTGCAGTCAATCCAGTCGGACTATAACCAAAGAGACTGGTAAGAGTACTTTTTGGAATTAAACATTCAATTATTTTATCCATTATATTGTACACTTTGTTCTGTTCTGGAAAATAACTTGTTTCTGCCAACCTGTTTTGCATGTTCTGTAGTGTTTAGCTGTGTTCTAGACTACTGTAGGCAGCTAACTAGCTAGCTGGCTAAATTATTTAGATCGTTGGGCTAGTTAGCAAGCAAACTAACAGTTAGCTAGCGTTAGGCTTGTCGTAATCAAAAATGTTTGTTTTCATTTAATGTATTAGCAAAACATTTGGACTATATTTGTGTTAGCTAATTAGTCTCCAATAGTTGTAGCTAAGTTAGCTAGCTAGCTGTCAGTCATAGCTAGGTCTATGAAATATTTAAAGCAAATAATATTACCATCTACTAATTGCTATTCTTACATAGAGTATATTTTCGGTCAATTGCTGGCAGCACCATTTCACCAGGTCAAATTTCTGGTACAGGTAAATGTACTTGGCAGATAAAGATGATCCTGATTCTTGAATTATTGCTTTTAGGAGAATCTGCTGCCTGAACATGGCACACATAGGCCTACAAAGAGAGGGAGAGCCAGGGGCAGAGGTCCAAGGGTCCGTGGAGGATTGCTGAGGGCCAGTGTAGACAGGGGCCCATGTAGAGAGCAGGGCCAGGGGAGGGAACAGGGGGAGAGGTAAAAGGGGCAGAGGCAGAATCTGTGAAATATCCCTGGCTGACAGGAAGATAGTTGATCATCATCGTCAAGATAGACGTGCACAGGTGGAGTGCATTTGGAAAGTATTCAGACCCCTTCCCTTTTTCCACATTTTGTTACATTACAGCCTTATTCTAAAATTGATTAAATATTTTGTTTTTCTCATCAATCTATACACAATACCCCATAATGACAAAGCTAAAACAGGTTTTTAGACAAAGGTTTAATATAGTGTAAGTGCAAAATTATTTATTTGTTCCACAAATAGTTATTTTTTATATGAAACAGTATCATAGAACACATAATTTGACGGTGTGTAACTACATTTATTTAGACATAAGACAACATTCATGAGTGACAAAGTATTCATAAGTTCTATTTACAGGTGGATTGAGTAGAGGGGACTGTACAATACATTATCAATAACATGAGGTTATTTACAATTGCTATTTATAAGCAAATTGGGTCTATTTAATTGAGTAGAGGGGACTGTACAATAACAATGTACAATAACATAATTGTGGTTATTTGTAATTGTTATTTACAATCAACTTTAGGAACTAATTGTTAGCTATTAGTATTCAGTGTGTATGTGTGCATGTGCATGTGGACATGGGGTTTGTAGTCATTGTAGCTGTTCAGATCCTAGGGCGTGGGAGGAAAAGATCCATCTAGAAACATGCTGTTTGACCATTCTTTTTCAAAACAAAGAATCTTATCACTCATACCTAGCCCTCGGCTGACATGTGCCCGAACCAGCTCCTGGATGGGTGGTGGTGGAATGTCAGGGAGAAGGCCAAGATTCCTTGGGTCAATGACTATACAAGAGATGATCCTTGGCATTCCTACGTTGGATGCCAACCTCTGTCTGACCACACCTGCTTGCAGCTCAGGGATGTAACTGTAGGGCTTTGGGGTCTTCTTCGCAAGCACTGTCTGTAGTAGCTGAGGGTATAGAACACAGAACAGCAAAGAAAGAGTAATTAGTATTACAATATCAAGATATAACCAATAGGCAGTAAAATGTGCTGCTGCACTTAACAAGTTCGGGCAGGTTCTGGTTCTGAACGGTGATGTACATAATATTACGCATATTCAGAACAGGCAAGTGCCCAGAACGGCAGGGAAACAGGAATCACTCACATCTTGTTGCCAGCTTTGTTCCTTGGAAACAGGAATCACTCACATCTTGTTGCCAGCTTTGTTCCTCAGAGCAGGGGCCTCATGTACAAAGACTTGCGTTGAATTCATACTAAAACATTGCGTACGGACAAAGCCATAAATGTGCGTACGCACCAAAAAAATCTGATGTATGAATCTCTGCGTACGCAGCATTCCACATACATTCTCTTTGTACATCCCAATCAACGCGAAATTGAGCGCACATGCACGAGCACCACACCACACCCTGTCTCCTCCCTCAATTAAATCAATTTAAATATGGTAATTAGTCCAATTTGGCAAAAGAAACCTGCAAGAACATGGCTAAAGCAAGCAAGAAACGAAATTTCACTGAAAACGAATTAGAGGTGCTACTATCAGAGGTAGAAACAAGAAAAAATATTTTATTTGGAAATCTGTCCTCTGGAATTAATAACAAAAGAAAGAAAAAAGAGTGGGCGAGTTTGTCTGATGCCGTCAACGCGGTGGGATCTGAGAGTCGCACCGTAAATGAACTGAAGAAGAAATGGTCAGACATAAAGGTGGAAGTTAAGCGGAGAACTGCTGCGCACCGACAAAGTGTGGGCAGAACAGGCGGTGGTACAGGGACTGATGAACTTGCACCCTTTGATCAGAGAGTTGCCTCTATTGTAGGAGACACGTTAATCTCTGGAATCGTATCCGCTGATGTAGGAGACTCGGATATACTACAGGACTGCCAGCAAGGTGACTCAGATTTATTTCCTTAACTTTGATATACATAGCCAGCCACCGTTTAATTTTAAAATGCATGCAATATAGCAAAAGGTACACCAGAGATTTCACGTATCCACTGCTTTTATTGCAAATGCGTGTACCCATTAATAAGGAACAGACTCAAATTACTGTTAAGATGTGCCTGTGTTTAATTGGACTTAGGAACCGCAGGAACGTCCACTGGCACGCACTCAGAGTCCGCACCACCTGAGCAGCCAGAGCCCATTCAGTCCAGCGTCTCCCGTGTCTCTAATGTTCCCCCCAGTGCTGAAGCCCGTCCATCTGGCCGTGTCTTGACGCATGCTGTTCTGGAGTCACAACAACAAATTGTTAGGGCCATTGAAGAAATGAACAGTCACCTTAAAAATGTCACTGACGCACTCACAGAAATAAGCCATTCATTAAAAGAATTGGTCAAAAAATGAACTTTGTGTCTGAGTACCATTTATATTGTCGCAATTACACGTTGACGGGCCTGAATGGCTTGTTGATTGTGCTGCACATATACTGGTCCTGGGTCAGGGTCATCTGGCGGTGCCCCCACCTCACCAAGGGGTATGCCATGCCTGTGCGCGACATTGTGCAGCACTCCACAGGCCAGTATGATGCGGCAAACCTTGTCAGGGCGGTATAACAGCATCCCCCCGGTCCTGTCAAGGCAGCGCCACCGACATTTCAGCTGCTATGTTTTTATTCAAGCAATCATTGACATGGTAATGTACCAATAGTATTTGAGAAAATATGAAAAAACGGACCCCTTTGGCGCTGTACGTTACATCGTGACGAGTCATGACGTAACATACAGCAAGCACTATGCAACTCATTGTGTGCCTTACAGCGTCTTTCCACCAGGGGTAGCGCTTCTCTCGCAGATTTAAAAACATGCTTAACCATATACACTTGTAAGAAAAGTTCATTATTCATGATCTTCGTTTAAATTAGTATTAATATTATTATGGATAATATTAAACACATTTTTCATGAGTAGGGTGCTAATATCAATGTGGTCATCAATAACACAAACACTGAATCAATCGATAATGAATTGCATGAGACTTTGATGTGCAGAAAAAAAGTATACCACTGCGCCAACCTCTGATCTGCATTTACACAAGCAAACCCGTCACCTGGTATTTACGAGTGCTGTGTGTTCAATAATTGAACTGTGAAATCTCATGTGTGCAATAACGCATGTCCTAAATTCTCACATGTGCTATCTATTCAACTCGTTTGCGAATGACATGCTCTAACCCAAAATGAGATGCGACATTCCTGCGTGCTTCTCTTTCTGCTCGGTGAAGAAAATGAACGACTAAAAGACCAAAGTGCACAGCCAGTTCGGTGACCTTTTACAGCATGTCACCAAACTGCAATAGTTATGGATTATGGAATGTTTTTGGACCATTGGCTTCCCTATAAACAGGTTCTGACAGGAGGCACGACGAGAACGCTGATCCAATGCCTCCCCAAAAAACGGATTGTAATAAAAAAAAGTTTTGTAATAAATAACTGATTGTAATAGAAAAACTGATTGGAATGAATCTATTGGAATAACTGATAGGAATAAAACAATTGATTGGAATAAAATCATCAAGGTCAATAAAAACATATTGCTTGTACAAAAAAACTATTTACAAAACGTTCCAAGTGTGTGTGTGGGGGGGAGTCTTCTCTCTACAGCCCCTGGCTAAGGCTGCACATGGGACAGTATCAGTCACCGTCTGGCACCGCCTCCAACTCCAGGCACTGGAGATGGAACCAGAGCTGACAGAACTCATACTGCACCCACTCGTCAATGTCGTCCTCATCAATCGGTGGCTCGACGTTGTGGCAGATGGCACAGTGCCCCCCAGCGAGGTCTGTTACCTGCACCTCAGCCTAGCGTTTCCTGTTCTCCTCTCTCTTCCTTTGCAACTCCTCCTTCTTCCTCTGCAGATCCTCCCTCTTCCTGCGCAGTTCCTCCTGCCTCCTCTGCTTAGCCTCCTCCTTGTCCTGCTGGATGAGCATTTCATTGAAGTCATCAGCGGTGATGACCTGAGCTGGCAGGGGAAGTCTGCGCCTCACGGTAGGCTGCTGCTGCTGACCAAACTTGTTTGCCAAGATGATGGGCATATAGGCATTTGCCAGCTTCACTGAGACAATGCCTGCAGCCACCAGCGGGTTGGTTGGAGTGACCTGCTAGCAGGTGGGACAGCACACAGGGGATGGGGTTGCTGCTACTGGAATTGCGGTGGTCTCTTCTATGGGGACTGCGGTGGGGGTCGCAGTGTTCACTGCGGTGGGGGCTGCTGTAGGAGCTGCCGGGGTCACTGATGTGGGGGCAGTGGTGGGGGCCTTCCTGAACCCACCCTTGATGTTTTCACTGCTCACCGCCTTGGGGTAGGCCTGGTGCAGCATGGCAGAGAAGTGTTTCTTGCCGATGACAACATGCACCCACACCAGGCCCAGGCGTGCCGCGTTGGTGGTGAAGACCGACTTCAGGGGGCCGAAGACACTGATGTCCAGTGTGCTGGCAGTAACACCACCTCCACCATGTTCTCTCGGCAGAACCTGACCAACTCCCTGGATGCATGCGTCTCATGCTGATCCATTATGAGGAGAAGGGGCCTCTCAGCAAGGGCATGCTTCACAAAGAAGGCCAGCCACTTCATGAAGAGCTCCCTGTCCATATAGCCCTTGGGGGAGACTCCATAAAGAAGATCCTTGGGTCCCTCCAGGGAGTAGGCAGTACTGGGGAGGCAGTGGGGTAAGATGATAAACGGCGGGATGCTCTCACCCGCTGCACTCATGCAAGCATGCACGGTGATGTTATCCTTGGTGGTGTTCTGCTGCTGATAAACATGCTTTCTGCCCTTTTGCACCAGCACCCGCTCCCTGGACTTGTCCCCGAACCCGTACTTCTTGAAGATAGGCTTGTAGATGTCGAAGACACCCTTGATTGCCACAGGAGTTGCCCCATGTACCTGGCCCGCTCCAAGGTGTCCGGGATCCTGCTGGACAGTTCAGGGTGGCGAGCCCTGAATCTCGACCACCAGTTGTCACTTAGACCCTGCTCTAAGTTGACGATGGTGGTGCGTCCACTCTCCTTGAGGATCTCGAGAGCAAGGTGCTTGATGACTGTCCTGTGGAGAGGGAAGGCATGGTTGGCCATCCACAGGATATAGGATACCAGCTGGGCCCTGGGGTGATTGCAAGGTTGGGGTGAGGGGCATTGGCATATTTATTTTTCTTATAGTCCTGGAGAGTGGTTGGTGTGAGGTATCCCGATCTCACGAGCCACCTACCTCAGGCTCCTTCCTCCCTGCCTTCACCTCCTCGACAGCAGCCTGTAGCTGTTCGGGAGTGTAGCGGCGCCTTGTTGGGCCTTCCTGTCAAAATAAAATGAAATGAGTTGGAGTTTTTTTTTTTTTCATGCAACATAATTTCCAACACAACATTATTGCATATGTCATGGAAATAGCAGGTGTTCATAAATGTTTGTACACTCACTGTATATGATGGAGTGAGAGGACAGAGGTGAGTTGGTGTTACAGATGTTTTTATATTTATTTTTTACATTACTAAAGTTATGTAATTCATACAATTATTGATCTTGTGCTATTGGAAGTAATAATATTAACCCTAATCATTCTCATGCTTTGTTCATTAACATTACAGTGCATTCAGAAAGTATTCAGACCCCTTGACTTTTTCCACATTTTGTTATGTTACAGCCTTATTAAAAAATGTATCAAATATTTTTTTCCCCTGATCAATCTACACACAATACCCCATAATGACAAAGCAAAAACAGGTTTCTATAAATTTAAAATGGAAATGTAACATTTACATAAGTATTCAGACCCTTTACTCAGTACTTTGTTGAAGCACCATCTCTGCAGATCCTCTCAAGCTTTGTCTGGTTGGATGGGGAGTGTCGCTGAACAGCTATTTTCAGGTGTTCGATTGGGTTCATGTCCGGGCTCTGGCTGGGCCACTCAAGGACATTCAGAGACTCCTGCATTGTCTTGGCTGTGTACTTAGGGTCGTGGTACTGTTGGTAGGTGAAACTTTGCCACAGTCTGAGGTCCTGAGCTCTCTGGAGCAGGTTTTCATCAAGGATCTCTCTGTACCTTGCTCCGTTCATCTTTCCCTCGATCCTGACTAGTCTCCCAGTCCCTGCCGCTGAAAAACATCCCCACAGAATGATGCTGCCACCACCATGCGAGGCCTAGTATCAAAGTTAGTCTGCAATCAGGGTTAGGAATTTATTTATATTAAGATTTGGTCCAGTAACACTGGGGGATGTTCCTGAGTAGCTGAGTTACAGTTTTGACTTAAATCTGCTTGAAAATGTGGCAAGACTGAAAATGGTTTTCTAGCAATGATCAACAACCAATTTGACATAGCTTGAAGAATTTTGAAATGAATAATGGCCAAATGTTGCACAATCCAGGTGTTGAAAGCTCTTAGAGACTTACCCAGAAAGACTCGCAGCTGTAATCGCTGCCAAAGGTGCTTCTACAAAGTATTGACTCAGGGGTGTGAATTAGGGTTGAATGGCGGGAACCCGGTTACCGAGAATTACTGCCCAAAACCACTCCCTTTTCCAGGGATAAATAACTGCGAGAAACCAGTAAATTATTATACATTATTTATATGAACAGCATGACGTGAAATTGAACTGTTAAATTATTTGCAATGTCTAAATCTGGCTGCTCTACGGCCTCTGCATGATGAATCAATGCTCAGGGTGGGGACAGACAGCCCATCTCAGTATGAGGTGCGGTTCAAAATGCATGTAGACCTATCATCTCATCATGGTAACTTTTTTTCTTGTGACAGGTACAGTGGGGAAAAAAAGTATTTAGTCAGCCACCAATTGTGCAAGTTCTCCCACTTAAAAAGATGAGAGAGGCCTGTAATTTTCATCATAGGTACACGTCAACGATGACAGACAAATTGAGGAAAAAAAATCCAGAAAATCACATTGTAGGATATTTAATGAATTTATTTGCAAATTATGGTGGAAAATAAGTATTTGGTCAATAACAAAAGTTTCTCAATACTTTGTTATATACCCTTTGTTGGCAATGACACAGGTCAAATGTTTTCTGTAAGTCTTCACAAGGTTTTCACACACTGTTGCTGGTATTTTGGCCCATTCCTCCATGCAGATCTCCTCTAGAGTAGTGATGTTTTGGGGCTGTCGCTGGGCAACACGGACTTTCAACTCCCTCCAAAGATTTTCTATGGGATTGAGATCTGGAGACTGGCTAGGCCACTCCAGGACCTTGAAATGCTTCTTACGAAGCCAATCCTTCGTTGCCCGGGCGGTGTGTTTGGGATCATTGTCATGCTGAAAGACCCAGCCACGTTTCATCTTCAATGCCCTTGCTGATGGAAGGAGGTTTTCACTCAAAATCTCACGATACATGGCCCCATTAATTATTTCCTTTACACGGATCAGTCGTCCTGGTCCCTTTGCAGAAAAACAGCCCCAAAGCATGATGTTTCAACCCCCATGCTTCACAGTAGGTATGGTGTTCTTTGGATGCAACTCAGCATTCTTTGTCCTCCAAACATGACGAGTTGAGTTTTTACCAAAAAGTTCTATTTTGGTTTCATCTGACCATATGACATTCTCCCAATCCTCTTCTGGATCATCCAAATGCACTCTAGCAAACTTCAGACGGGCCTGGACATGTACTGGCTGAAGCAGGGGGACACGTCTTGCACTGCAGGATTTGAGTCCCTGGCGGCGTAGTATGTTACTGATGGTAGGCTTTGTTACTTTGGTCCCAGCTCTCTGCAGGTCATTCACCAGGTCCCCCATGTGGTTCTGGGATTTTTGCTCACCGTTCTTGTGATCATTTTGACCCCACGGGGTGAGATCTTGCGTGGAGCCCCAGATCGAGGGAGATTATCAGTGGTCTTGTATGTCTTCCATTTCCTAATAATTGCTCCCACAGTTGATTTTTTCAAACCAAGCTGCTTACCTATTACAGATTCAGTCTTCCCAGCCTGGTGCAGGTCTACAATTTTGTTTCTGGTGTCCTTTGACAGCTCTTTGGTCTTGGCCATAGTGGAGTTTGGAGTGTGACTGTTTGAGGTTGTGGACAGGTGTCTTTTATACTGATAACAAGTTCAAACAGGTGCCATTAATACAGGTAACGAGTGGAGGACAGAGGAGCCTCTTAAAGAAGAAGTTACAGGTCTGTGAGAGCCAGAAATCTTGCTTGTTTGTAGGTGACCAAATACTTATTTTCCACCATAATTTGCAAATAAATTCATAAAAAATCCTACAATGTGATTTTCTGGATTTTTTTTCCTCAATTTGTCTGTCATAGTTGACGTGTACCTATGATGAAAATTACAGGCCTCTCTCATCTTTTTAAGTGGGAGAACTTGCACAATTGGTGGCTGACTAAATACTTTTTTTCCCCACTGTAGGCCTACATTTGCTGCAGAATAGCCTATGCTACAGTAATATAAAGACCGAATGCGCGTCTAATTTACCATTATAAACTGGGTGGTTCGATCCCTGAATGCTGATTGGCTGACAGCTGTGGGTATGACAAAACATGTATTTTTACTGCTCTAATTATGTTGGTAACCAGGTTATAATAGCAATAAGGCACCTCGGGGGTTTGTGGGATATGGCCAATATACCATGGCTAACAGGTGTATCCAGGCACTCCGTGTTGCGTCGTGCATAAGAGCAGCCCTTAGCCGTGGTATATTGGTCATATACTACACCCCCTCGTGCCTTATTGCTTAAATAGACTATTCGAAGAGGGACGCAAGCTGAATGTTAAATACAATAGCCAATAGAACTCACGAACGCGAAGAGCGAACGCGCAATGGCAGTAGGTTATAGCAGTTATTTATTCAGACCCATAACCATTCAATCTTCGTGAAGAGAAGTGAAAGCCTTCTGCATCTAATTCTAGTCCCATATTATTCAAATATGTCAACAGAATTATGAAGATAAGGACAACGAAACGTATTTAATTTAACTGTTGAAAGCGAGGAAGGAATGAAGCAACAGTAGAGAGAGAAAGAAAGAGGAGGTAGGCTAATAACATTAGGGGAAATATGTTATATTTGAGATTCTTCAAAGTAGCCACCCTTTGCCTTGATAACAGCTTTGCACACTCTTGGCATTCTCTCAACCATCTTCATGAGGTAGTCACCTGGAATGCATTTCAAATAACAGGTGTGCCTTGTTAAAAGTTAATTTGAGGAATTTCCTTCCTTCTTAATGCGTTTGGCCAATCAGTTGTGTTGTGGCAAGGTAGGGGTGGTATACAGAAGATAGCCCTATTTGGTAAAAGACCAAGTCCATATTATGGCAAGAACAGCTCAAATAAGCAAAGAGAAATTACAGTCCATCATTACTTTAAGACATGAAGGTCAGTCAATCCGGAACATTTCAAAGGTGTTGAAAGTTTCTTCAAATGCAGTCGCAAAAACCATCAAGCGCTATGATGAAACTGGCTCTCATGTGGACCGTCACAGGAAAGGAAGACCCAGAGTTACCTCTGCTGCAGAGTATAAATTCATTAGAGTTAACTGCACCTCAGATTGCAGCCCAAATAAATGCTTCACAGAGTGCAAGTAACAGACACATCTCAACATCAACTGTTCAGAGGAGACTACATGAATCAGGCCTTCATGGTCGAATTGCTGCAAAGAAACCACTACTAAAGGACACCAATAAGAAGAAGAGACTTGCTTGGGCCAAGAAACATGAGCAATGGACATTAGACCGGTGGAAATCTGTCCTTTGGTCTGATGAGTCCAAATGTGAGATTTTTGGTTCCAACCGCCGTGTCTTTATGAGACGCAGAGTAGGTGAACGGATGATCTCTGCATGTGTGGTTCCCACTGTGAAGCATGGAGGAGGAGGTGTGATGGTGTGGGGATGCTTTACTGGTGACACTGTCAGTGATTTATTTAGAATTCAAGGCACACTTAACCAGCATGGCTACCACAGCATTCTGCAGCGATACGCCATCTGTTTTGCGCTTAGTGGGACTATCATTTGTTTTTCAAAAGGACAATGACCAAAAACACACCTCCAGGCTGTGTAAGGGCTATTTGACCAAGGAGAGTGATGGAGTGCTGCATCAGATGACCTGGCCTCCACAATCACCCGACCTCAACCCA